TATAGGCGTGAGCCACGGTGCCCAGCCTGGTTTTAATTTTTATCTTAAATTTATTTTTAATTTTGTTTTTAGAGATAGCGTCTCACTCTGCTTGTAGTGGTAGAATCAGAGCTCACTGCAGCTTCAAACTCCTGGGCTCCAGGAATCCTCCCTGTTCAAGCTCCCTAGTAGGTAGGAGCAAGTTTGTCTAAACCTCAACCCACAGGCCGCATAAGGTCCAGGACAGCTTTGAATGCAGCCCAACACAAATTTGTAAACTTTCTTAAAACATTATGATATTTTCTTTCCAATTTTGTTTTTTTGAACTCATCAGCTATTGTATTTTATGTGTAGCCCAAGACAATTCTTCCAGTGTGACCTACGGAAGCCAAAAGATTGGATACTCCTGGTATAGGCACGTACCACCATGCCTGGCAAAATTTTTAATTTTTTTTGTAGAATGGGGGTCTTACTATGTTGCCAGGCCGGTCTCCAACTCCTGGCCTCAAGCAATCCTCCCACCTTGGCTTCTCAATGTGCTCAGGTTACAGGTGTGACCACTCTCAGCCCATTTGCCTGTTAATGGGTATTTGTGTTCCAAATTGTTGGAATTTTTTTTTTTTTTTTTTTTTTTTTTTTTTTTTTTGAGACAGGGTCTTGTTGTGTCATCCAGGTTGGAGTGCAGTGGTGTGATCATAGCTGACTGCAGCCTCCACCTCCCAAGCTCACACGATTGTCCTTCTTCAACCTCCCTAGTAGCTGAGATTGCTATTTATTTTTAGTAGAAACAGGGTTTCACTATGTTGCTCAGGCTGGTCTCCAACTCCTGGCGTCAAGCAATCCTCCTGCCTTGGTCTCCCAAAGGGTTGGGATTATAGGCAATTACAAATACAGTTGCTATGAACATTTGTGTGCAAGTCCTTCTGTGGACATGTGCTTTCATTTCTTTTGAGCAAATACCTAGGGATGGAATGGCTGAATCACATGCAAACAAACATATGCTTACCCTTTTAAGAAACTTCCTAAGTTTTTTCCAAAGTGGTTGTACCATTTCACATTCCCAATAGTAGTGTATGAATTTCAGTTGCTCTATGTTCTGACAAATTCTTGGTATGACTAGTCTTTTGGAATTTACCATTAAATAGGTAGGGTATGTTGTTGAGGTCTTAATTTGTATTTTTCTCTTAATCTGTATTTCTCTAATGACTAATGATGCTGCATATCTTTTCATGCCTTTATTGTCATCCATATATGGCTTCTTTGATGAAGTGTCTCTTCAAACCTTTTGCCCATTTGTTTTTTGAGTTATTATTGAGGTATGAGAGTTCAGAAAGTAGACACTCTGGATATAAATTCTTTTTTTTTTTTTTTTTTTTTGAGATGGAGTCTTGCCCTGTCACCCAGGCTGGAGTGCAATGGTGTGATCTTGGCTCACTGCAACCTCTGCCTCCCGGGTTCAAGCGATTCTCCTGCTTCAGCCTCCTGAGTAGCTGGGACTACAGGCGCCTGCCACCATGCCAGGCTAATTTTTGTACTTTTAGTAGAGACGGGGTTTCACCATATTGGTGAGGCTAGTCTCGAACTCCTGACCTTGTGATCCACCCGCCTCGGCCTCCCAAAGTGCTGGGATTACAGGCATAAGCCACCTCGCCCGGCCTGGATACAAATTCTTTACCAGTGTCCGGAATGGTGGCTCACACCTGTAATCCCAGCACTTAGAAAGGCTGAGGCAGGTGGATTGCTTGAGCTAAGGAATTCGAGACCAGCCTGCGCAACATGGGGAAACGCCATTCTCTGTAACAAATACAATAATTAATCAGGCATGGTGCTGCACACCTGTAGTCCCAGCTACTAAGGAAGCTGAGGTGGGAGGATCACTTGAGCCTGGGAGCTTGAGGTAGCAGTGAGTCATGAGCATGCCACTATACTCCAGCTCTATTGAGACACAGCGAGGCCCTGTCTCAAAAACAAAACAAAACAAAACCACATACAGACACATTCTTATCAGATACATGATTTGCAAATAGCTGCTTCAGTTTTTGGCTTGTCTTTCCATTCTCTTTCTGGGGCTGTAGTGTGCTATGATGATGCCATCATACTCCTGGGCTCAAGTGATCCTCTGCCTCAGCCTCTCGAGTAGCTGGGACTACAGGTGCATGCCACCATGCCTGCCTCAAGTATTTCTGATGCTGTTGTAAATGGTATTTTAAATTTTAATTTCAGATTGTTCATTGCTAGTGTACTACAAATGCAACTGACATTTGCATATTGATTTTATGACCTGTAGTTTTGGTCATTTATTTGATCTGATAGTTTTTTGTAGATCTTGTGCCAGAGTTTTCAACATGTCACCTACAAATAAAACCAGTTTTACTTCTTCTTTTCTAATTTGAATGCCTTTTTTTTCCTTGCCTTATTGCACAGGCTAGAATCCCCAGTACAATATTGAACAAAAGTTGTCAGAGCAGAAATCCTTGCCTTGTTCCTGATCTTAAGGTGAAAGCGTTGTTCTTCACCATTAAGTGTGATGCTTTTTATAGACACTCTCTATTAAGTTGAGGAAGTTTCCTTGTAATCTTAGGAATGGATATTGGATTTTGTCCAATGCATTTGCTGCATGTATTGAGATTATCAAATGGTTTTTCTTTTTCAGTCTGTAAATATTGCTTGATTTACCAATGCTAATTCAACCTTGCATTCCTAGGATAAGCCCCTGTTTGGGCCTATAATGTATTATCTTTTTAAATATATTTTTTACATATTTATATATCTTTTTTTCTAATATAATCTACTCTTTTACTGCCTCGTCTCATGTAAACTTGTGTAATTTCCCATTGGGTCCACCTTAGGAAACAGTCTTTAAGGTTTTCTCCATAAGACAAGTACCAGTATACTCTTTTATGGTCAATACAATGCTAATTCAACCTCGCATTCCTAGGATAAACCTCTGTTTGGCTATAATGTATTCTTTTTTTATATACTGTGAAATAAAAGTGACTAGAATTGTGCATATTATGCTTATGAGAGATACTGGTCCACAGTATACTTGTTTAATATCTAGAGTTTGGGTATTAGTTTAATGCTGGCCCCATAGAATAAGCTGGGAAGTATTCCCTCTTCTTCGATTTTCTGGAGGACTTTATCTAGAATTGGAATTATGTTTTTCTTATATATACCGTGTTAAAACCATACAAAAGAAAGCCTAAGTGGCTGTAATACTATCAGACAAAATATACTTCAGAGCAAAGAACATTGTCAGGAAAGAGGAGGGTCATTTGTAAAGTGGATAATTTCACAATGATGAAACTTTCGTAAAGGATAAATTCATACAAATAAGAGAGTAACTATGTTTATGCAACTAATAGCAGAGTTTCAAAGTACATGAAGCAGAAATTGATAGAATTACAATTGAAAAAAACCAGTAATAGTCAGAAATTTTAATACTCTCAATAATTAGTAGAGTAAGTAGACAGTAAATCAGAAAGGATATAGATTTGAACACTAATATCAACCAACTTGACATGACTGACATTTATAGAACACTCCATCCATGTGCAAAAAACACATTCATTTCAAATGCAAGACAGACTATACTCTGGGCCACAGAACAAGTGTCAATAAGTTTAAAATTATTAGTATTGTACGAAGCATCTTCTCTGATCACAATGGGATTAAATCAGAAATCAGTAACAGGCAGCTATCTGGAAAACTCCTCCACTTACGAAAAACACAAGAAACCCATGGTCAAAAAAAGAAAGCAATAGGGAAATTACAAAGTATTTTGAAATGAAGGAAAATGAAAATACAATATATCAAAATATGTGGGATGTAGCTAAAACAGTATAGAGGGACACTTATCACACCAAATGCCTGTAGAAACAAGAGACATCTAAAATTAGTGGTCATCAGTTTCTGAGTTAAGAAACTAGAGAAACAAAACAATAAATTAAAAAATTAAAAAATAGCAGAATAAAGGAAACAATAAACATAAGAGCAGAAATCAATAAAATAGAAAACAGAAAACCAGTAGAGAAAATCCAAGAAAGCAAAAACGGGCTTTGAGATTTGAGATCCGTAAAATCGAGAAACCCCTCGCCATGTCGATCAGAAAAAAAGATGACACACAAATTACCAATTTCAGAACCGGAGGGGTCAGATTTTATAGACATTAAGTGGACAATAAAGGAATACAGCTAACAGATTTGCATTATTAAACAATTTAGACATTTCTACAAACTATTAAAGCTCACTCAAGAGGCGGTATCAATAAATATTGGTTGAATTAGTGAATGCCAGCTATTACTATGGGCAGGGTTTTAGAGAGAAACGAAAGCATTTTTTTTTTTTTGAGACCGAGTCTTGCTCTGTCGCCCAGGATGGAGTGCAGTGGCTCGATCTCGGCTCACTGCAACCTCCGCCTCCCGGGTTCAAGCGACTCTCCAGCCTCGGCCTCCTGAGTAGCTGGGATTACAGGCGCGCGCCACCATGCCAGCTAATTTTTGTACTTTTAGTAAAGATGGGGTTTCACGATGTTGGCCACGCTGGTCTCGAACTCCTGACCTGGTGATCCGCCCGCTTCGGCCGGTCAAAGTGCTAGGATTACAGGCGTGGGCCACCGCGTTGGGCCAAAGGAAGCATTTTCCTTCCAAAGAAGCTCTCAGGTTACTGCAGGGGCAAAAAAACACATAAAGCTTAATGTTGCTCCGGGTCAGAAGAGTAGAGGAGCATTGCTTAAAGAAAGGCTTCTTTGGGGACAAGTCACTCCGCCAACACATGAAGGACCCACGGAAAACGTTAGAGTTAGAACAGCTGCACGTGAGTTCACACAAGGGGCCCAGAAGTGGCCCTCCGGCGACTGCCTGCTCCCCTGTCCTCCTAGTACAGCCCTAACCCTTTCCCAACTGGTGCTGGCAGCAGTTAAGAAACCACCTCCTTCCAAGGCCAGCTGTCTTGCGCCTGCGCATTCACGCAAAGCGCTCATAGAAGGCGGGAGGGAGGGCGTTACCGGAAGTGTGACCTCTCGCTCCCCGCAGCCTATTCTCATCCGGGGTCACGTCGATCTTCCGGGTGTCTTTGACAGGGTACTCTACGCCGCTTTTTCTGCGACTTTTTGGTCTTCCGCTTTTTGCCACCGCCCCCAACCTTCTAAATCCTTGCGGCTCCTATCTTTTATTGTGTTACTCCTCCCCTGGCAGCCGTGCCGGGGGTTAGATCGCAGGCAGGGTCGGAGCTGGGCCTAGCTGCCCCACGGGCCACCACTACCTCCTTTGGTTCGAGAGAAAGCTACGACCGAGTACGCTCAGCCGTCCCAGCTCGGGCCTTGGAACTTCTGAGCGGGCAGTGCGGGTAGGCCCTGCTTAGTACTTCCCGGAGGACACCTGTGAGTTTAGGGGGTTTCGGAGAGGAACGCAGCGGTGTAGGCCCAGGTCGGGGGCGGGGCGCGGGAAACTTTTTCCGAAACGGTAGCGTTTTGTTTTGAGTGGGAGGTTCCGGCAGTATCTCTTGGTTATTCCAAGTTTATGGGCGGCCCCTGGGCTGCTTGTACATTTTGAAGAATCTTAGGACCGCTTACTTTGCTTACTGGTTTTTCTCGTTCTCGCGTACTCCCTCGTCCACCACTCCAGGACCAAAAGAGGAAGATAGTCTTGGGACCCCTGCATGGTGTTTCAAAGGGTGGTAAAGAACTAAGGTAAATAGCTGGATTAATTAAAAAATTTAAAAGGCATTTATCTTTTAAGGCTTAATTAAATGGCATGAAATTGCCTCAGCTTTTCACTTATAGGAAAATGCACAGGTTAAGACTGTTAGTTGTGTACGTTCTTGTTCAGCCTTTGTAGAAAGGCTTTTCGTGTCTCAAGGTGAGAACACGAAAGGCTTATGTGTCTCACAACTTATGGATTCTCTAAATTACTTGTCTTATCTCTTTCAACTCTTTGTTTAAAATAGCAGATGTTTTTCATTAGGGTGAACAGAGAAGAAACAAAGGGAAACTGTAAAACACAATCTTAATAACAGATGTGCAGTGTATGATTTTGTGAGGAGAGAGATTGTAACTGATCACTAAATCTGTGTTTTTATATTACAGATAACATACTTAACTTTTGTAAATATCTTCATATTGTATGGTTCAGTACCACAAGGCTTCCAACACGTACTGATTAACAGCCATAAGGCTATTAATTTATACTGATTAATAGCCAGTAATAGTGACGTTACTTTGTTGGTGTGAATAGCCCTAATTATGCCTGTTAATTATGCCTGAAAATGTCTTGTAACAGCCTCCATGTGAAACAGGCCATTTATGAGTTGTTTAAGAAATGCCCTTTTGGAGCCATGTGACTAGATTATTTTTTGAAGACTTGGGTGTAATTCAAATCTTAGCCAAAGGGAATATCCTGTTCAAAACCTGGAAGTGGTTTTCACAGTGGGTTGGTAGGATTTAGGAATTGGATTTTTCGTATTGTGGAGAAAAGAAGTGGGTTTGAGGGATCAAAGATATTTGTACAAAATGGACAGTATCTTGGTTTAGCCAGTACAGTTCTGGTTTTTATACTAGGTATATTCTGCTTTTCAAAGAATCTGATGAAGGAATTATATATAACCTTGAGTGTTCTCTAATTTGTTGGAGGAGAGGTCAAGTTGAGGACAGAAATTCCAGGCTGCAAATTACAGGACCAAATACTTTATCACCAGAAATTACTACGAATTAATCTACTTTTTTTTTTTTTTTTTTTTTTAAGACAGAGTCTTGATCTTGTCACCCAGGCTGGAGTGCAGTGGCACGATCTCGGCTCACTGCAGCCTCCGCCTCCTGGGTTCAAGTGATTTTCCTGCCTCAGCCTGCCGAGTAGCTGGGATTATAGGTGACCACCACCATGCCCAGCTGATTTTTGTATTTTGTGGTAGAGACGGGGTTTCACCATGTTGGCCAGGCTGGTCTCAAACACCTGACCTCAGGTTGATCCATCCGCCTCGACCTCCCCAAATGCTGGGATTACAGGTGTGAGCCACGGTGCCCGGTGGAATTAATCTACTCTTTCACTGCCTTGTTTCACGTAAACCTGTGTAATCTCCCATTGGGTCCACCTTAGGAAACAGTCTTTAAGGTTTTCTCCATAAGGCAAATACAGTATACTATTTTATGGTCAAGTACAGATTGTGGAACTGATAACTTTTAAGGTAAGGAAAATTGGATATTGCCAATATCTGGATTTTATGTATCTCTCATAAAATTTGTCACATGGAAGATGGTAGAAGACCACAGTTAATGTGGAGTAATGTTTTATATAACGAATCCCTACTTACTGAGGAAACCTTTCATTCAGAGTATGAAGAAAATGAAGATTTGAAATTTTGTGGAGGTCCCCTTATTTCTGTTATAGTAATAGTTTTACTGTATTTTATTTTGTGAAACTACATTCTGTTTAAAAAATGATTATGTTGTTTATGATAGATAATTGTTTTGATGTCATTTTTATTTTCATCAAAATCAATGTGAAATATATTAGAAAAAAGGAATAGAAATTCATGGGCGTTTCATTTACTTCTTTAACTCTAGATGTCTTTCAGAATACCTATATTGATGAACATAGAATGAGTGCCTCAGAATGATTTTCCCCGACTTGAAGTCTACCTTCGTTAAGAGCCTGACTTGAGGGCCAAAATTCATACTGAGGAGAGGCTGGCAGATCCTTTGTTTTGCAGGGGCTCTAGAGCTTGGTATATTTCTGGGAATTTGGGATAGGCTGAACTAGATTTCTGCCCCAGAGTAAACATCTGGCTGTGGACTCATTCTAAGTTTTTAAGCTGGGGATAATTTGATCATTAACTTTGTAGAGTAGTTCTGGGCCACAAGACATCTTTAGATTTATTCTTAGTTTGGTTTTGGCTGTGTATAGGATGGAAACAAGGTGCGGTCTGGGGCTCTTAATGTCATTTTGGATCTTCAAATCTTAATATACATGGACCTTATTCAGTTACAGAGGAAAAACAGCATGTTTTTATAGGTATAAACAGGTGTCTATAAAGCAAAATTTGTTACAGTGAATTGTGTTTAATAGCATTTTCTCATAAATCCTATGAAGTAAGATCCTATGTTTTATGGGAAATTAGGTTAGGGAACCAGGGTTAAAAAAGGCCAAGAAAGAGTGTGAGCCTGAGCAAAGGATGAAAAGTGTTCGTTGCCCATCTTGAATCTGGCAATCCAATATTTTTCTTTTTTCTTTTTTTTTTTGTTTTTGAGACAGGGTTTCAAAACTCCAGCCGTTGACCAGGCTGGAGTGCAGTGGCACAGTCTCCTTGGCTCACTCCAACCTGCGTCTCCCTGGCTTAAGTGATCCTCACACCCCAGCCTCCGGAATAGCTGGGACTTCAGATGCACACTACCACACCTGGCTAATTTTTGTTGTGTCTTGTTTTTTTTTTTTTTTTTTTTGAGACGAAGTCTCATTCTTTCACCTAGGCTGGAGTGCAGTGGTGTGATCTCCGCTCACTGTGACCTCTTCCTGCCGGGTTTAAGCGATTCCCCTGCCTCAGCCTCCCAAGTAACTGGGATTACAGGTGCCTGCCACCATGCTAGCTAATTTTGTATTTTTAGTAGAGACGGGTTTTGCCATGTTGCCCAGGCTGTTCTCAAACTCCTGACCTCAGGTGATCTGCCCACCTTGTCTTCCCAAAGTGTTGGAATTATAGGCATGAGCCACTGCACCTGGCCTAATTTTTTTTTTTTTTTTGAGACGGAGTTGTGCTCTTGTTGCCCAGGCTGGAGGGCAATTGTGCGATCTTGGTTCGCTGCAACCTCCGCCTCCCAGGTACAAGCGATTCTCCTGTCTCAACCTCCCAAGTAGCTGGGATTACAGGCATGTGCCACCACGCCTGGCTGATTTTTTTTGTATTTAGTAGAGATTTCACCATGTTAGTCAGGCTGGTCGTGAACTTCTGATCTTGGGTGATCCATCTGCTTCGGCCTCCCAAAATGCTGGGATTATAGGTGTGTGCCACTGCGTGCGGCCTAATTTTTGTATTTGTTGTAGAGATGAGATTTTATCATGTTGCCCAGGCTGGTCTCTAACTCCTGGGCTCAAACAATCTGCCTGCCTCAGCCTCCCAAAGTTCTGGGATTATAGGGGTGAGCAACTGCCCAGCCCAGGATTATTGTATGTATTTTTACTAGGGGATTCCCTGGAATGCTGCTTAGTTCGAGATACTTGTCCATTTCCTCTGAAGAAGCTAGGGTGTACAGGTGAGGAAATATGATAGGATTATTTTCTTTTTTTAAAATCTCTTATAAAAAGATATAAGGGTCTGCTAAAAAAGTTGACAGACTTGTTTTCTGGAGGTTAACCTTGTCTCTGGTCCAAATTAGAGTCAGGCATTTGGGATGAGGTCCGATGGTGGTTCATAGAATTTTGTCCACAAGCTGTTATGAACCCTGGACTGGTGAGCCTTGTTATCTGTGGCCAACCTAGGGAATTTTAATCTTATGGAATTGAAAAAACAAGGAACAATGTTTGTGAGGGGTTTATTTATTTCTTCCCAGATCTTTCTTTCTCTTCCCTGTTGTCTCTTACAGTTTTTTCCAGCCCTCCTAGTCACAATCCCCAGAGGCGACTATTTCGATTCTTCTGGCTACCTAGTTTTATTTTTCTCTGTTGTTTAAAAAAAAAAGAAAAGTAAAGTAAACTTCTATACTTCATTCTTTTGATTTATATTTACTGCAAATGAGGATTTAGCACTTTTTGTACCCTCTGTCATCCTCCATATAAAACTTGTGATATATAAACACAAATGTATAATATAATGTCATATATAAATAAATATATAATAAATTTTATATGGTAGCTCAGTTTAAAAAAATCAGTATATTCAATCTTTATTGTAAGAATCAGGTAGGTAACTATGATTATATTGCCTTTTTTATATTACCTATTGAGTGTTTTTTTCTTTGGTAATTTATTTTTAACTAGCTACTTTTCGGTATTTCTAAAATTATTTCTACTCTGTTAACAGAACTTTTCTCTATGGTCAAATACATCAGGTAATCTACCAGTTGATTTTTTTTTTTTTTTTTAACTTAGATATCTTCTTGAAGCCCTGCATCCTGCTATTCTAATTTGAACTGTTAGTTTCCCAACACTGTCATCTTGGGGCATTTACTTTGTTTCTGCCCTACATCAGATCTCCCTTTTTCTGGATTCCAGGTTTTCGTTTTCTTTTTTGATAACTTACCTAAGAATGTTTCTAGTTTCCCTTGCATTTGATAGTACAGCTAGGTATAGAATTTCAGCCTGAGAGCATTTCCATCAGAGATTTGAAGTCATGAGTCCATGTCCTGTGCTATTGAGAAGTCCAAAGCCATTTTGATTGCTTGCCCTTTGTTTATACCGTTTTCTCCTTCTGGAATATTTTATAAACTGCTTTTTTTGTGTGTAATATTCGGAAACTTCAGTATAATATACCTTGACATGTAACTTTTTTACTGTGCTTTGTACTCTTTAGGTCCTTTCAATCTGAGGATTGGTGTCTTTCAGTCTTTGGCATTTTTTTGTTTTATTTGTTAGGTGATGTCCTGTGTTTTTTTCTGTTCTTCCTGGACCTTCTGTTATGTTAGATTACATAGTTTAATAGTCTTCTGTTTTCTCTTCTATTGTCTTGCCTCCTTCCTGCCCCTACCAACTTTTCCTTTTTGTTCTTTCTAATACATTTCCTCAAAGTTACCTTTTAACTTTCTTCTGGATAGTTCTGCTTTCAATTTTATAATTTCCCACAGCCTTTTTATTTTATTTTTTTGAGATAGGGTCTTGCCCTGTCACCCAGGCTGGAATGCAGTGGCATGAACATGGTTCACTACAGCCTTGACCTCCTGGACTCAAGCAGTCCTCCCACCTTAGCCTCCTGTGTAACTGGGACCATAGGCACACACTACTGTGCCTGGCTAATTTCTTTGATTTTTTATAGAGACAGGGTCTTACTTTGTTGCCCAGGCTAATCTTGAATTCCTGAGCTCAAGTAATCCTCCCACCTCTGCCTCCCAGAGTGCTGGGATTGTAGGTGTGAGCCACCGCACCTGGCCCCTTTCTTTTTAAATAGCATATTCTTGTTTTATATATACAATGTCTTTTCATTAATCTGAGATTTTTTTTTTTTGAGTGTTCATTTGTTCCTGACATTGTTTCTGTTTATTCCCAGGTTTTATTTTTCTTCTGGTGATCCATGGATGCCTATTTTAAGTGAAAATATCAGGAGTCTAATTAGAAACTCTAAAAATGTGTGGGTAGGGCCTGTCAACTAGTAGGCTTCATGTTAAGTTGATTAGGTAGCTAGCTTGACATTTTCTTGATGCATTCCCAAGTATTATTATGTTACAGGTTCTCTTGTTACTATGTTACATAGTTTCTCTGTCATCTTGTTTTTTCATAAAAGAGTTTTCTAATTGCTTGCTTTGAGAAAGTGGGTTGAGGGGTCCTATTTTTCTTTGTAGACTTTACCTGATACTCGTTTTCAGTTTATTACCTTATCCAATCCTTTGTAAGACTACAACCTTATTGTATGAGTCATTGCAAAGAATAAATATCTACTTTCCTCCCTGGATCAGTGAAGGATTCTGATTGCTTTGTATAGTTTTTCCCTATTCCTATGGAACACAGCCCTCTTTTACTGGAAATCTTTTATATAAATTATGTAGACTTTGAGGGGAATCTCAGAATTTTATAAATTGTTAAGACAATATAAAATCCATTCCGTATTTGATCGGACCTGTAAGAACCAAATTCTAGGAATCAGGATGTCATGTGATGGTTTATACCTTTGTATAAATTAGATTGAGAATAAATGTAAGAATCTGTGGGATTTTATTAATGTCAGGTGATAACTTGATTTTCTAAAAGATTTTTTGATATGAGGGTAAATGTAGTAGGGTAAATTCATCAGAAAATTAGAAATGTGCATGTATCTTGCATCTGAATAATGCTAATCTTAGATTTAGAATTTATTGTTTGTTTCCTTTTGTTACCTACAGTGGCACTTAGGAGACCTATTTAACTTTGCAAATAAAATTTGTAACTTGATAACTAATTGTTTTAAGTTACTGGATAATAGAAGTGTTTAGTATCTTTAAACTATAATAATTTAATATTGTCTTTTAAAATTATCCTAGGTAGAAGAATACATGTTCACTTCCAGTGAACAAGAGCATGTTCCCAAACTCAATTTTGGGTCGCCCACCCTTCACTCCAAATCATCAACAACATAATAACTTCTTTACCCTGTCACCTACTGTTTATTCACACCAGCAGCTTATAGATGCACAATTCAACTTTCAGAATGCAGAGTAAGTATGGTGATATTTTGGCCCATGTTGTTGGTAAATTTCATTTTCTATTTGACATAAGCCCTTTTTGTATGAAACTTTCGAACGCGGAGAATATGTCGTCACATTTTTTTTTTTGATAGGGAAGTATTTAATTTTTTTAAAGAGATTGGTTTTGTTTTTAAAGAAAAAATGTGTATATTATTACTGTTCTTTTCTTTGATTTTGATAGCTTGTCTAGAGCTGTGTCATTACAGCAGCTGACATATGGAAATGTCAGTCCAATACAGACCTCAGCTTCCCCATTATTTCGAGGAAGGAAGTAAGTACTTCTTAATTATTTTAAAAGAATATTTTTGCGTTTCTGAGAACTCTGTAACAGTGTATCTTGAATTAATGTTGTATGGACCCTATGCCCTGTGTTTTGTTTTCCGGGACCTGTACGATCAGATCAGTCGCGGAATTTTAACATTTTTTGCATTTAAAAATTTTAGGGGTTCTTTTGTTGATTTGTTTCTGCTTTATTGTATGTTTGTTTCTGCCCTACATGAGATCTTCCCTTTTCTATATTCCAGGTTTTCTTTTTCTAGAATAAAGCTAAGTTTCCTCAGAAAACCACTTTTTAATTGAGATTTTTTAACTAAATGAGATGGCCTTCTGTATTCATTTGCTAGGGTAGGGTTGCCGTAACAACGTACCACACATTGGGTGGCTTACACAACAGAAATTTATTTTCTTACAATTCTGGAGGCTAGATCAAGGTGTTGGCAGGATTGGTTTCTTCTGAGGCTTCTTTTCTTGCCTTGTAGAAGACTGCGTTGTCACTGGGTCTTAATATGGTTGTTTCCCTGTGTTTTCTGTGTCCTCATCTCTTCTAAGGACACCAGTCATATTGGATTAAGATTCATCTTAAAGGCCCCACTTTAACTTAGGTAAAGGTAACTTTTAAGAGGTCCTCTCTCCAAATACAGTCACATTCTGAGCTCCTGGGGCTTAGGACTTCAGCTTTTGAATTTCTAGGGGGACATAATTATAACATTTTCTTTCTAGTAAACTTTATGTTTTGATTTATCTGCATCCTACACAGGTAAGGTTCCATGATAACAAACATTGTAGTGAAAATTTCTGTGTAACATAAAACTTCCTATAGTCAAGTCAGGAGTCAATTAATTTTAATCTGTTTGATTAAAAGATATTCATTTATTACAAAATAGAACTTGAGAGGTGATTGTTAAAATAACATTCGGCAATATTTGAAAGATACCACTGTTACTTAAAAACCTATATAAACATTCTATAACCTTTACGTCTCATAAAAAAATAACACTATCGGTGAACAAGGTGCTGTAAAAAAAAATAATAACACTAGGAATTATTAATTGCTCATTATGTAGTAATCATTATTCTAAGCCTTTACAATTAATGGTTTGATTAAATCACATAACACTGAGGTAAGTACTATTATCCCTTGCCTGTTGAGGAGAAAGCTGACTCACACAAAGGTTAAGTAACTAGTTACTCAGAAGTGACATAGCTGGGATTTGAAATGTTGTATGTCTCTGAGTCATATGCTTATAAGCACTACAGTTTGTTCTTCAAAATTGTCATTGAGAAAAGTTTTATAATAATTCATTATTATATATTGACTATAATTCGTTATTATATATTGACTATAATTATAGTATTGACTTTATTCAGATTTTGTTTTTTGGAAATTGCCTTCAGAGCCAATTTGTGAATTAAGAATGAAAATAAACTCTATTAGACCGGGTGCAGTGGCTCACGCCTGTAATCCCAGCACTTTGGGAGGCCAAGGCGGGCGGATCACGAGGTCAGGAGATTGAGACCGTCCTGGCTAATACGGTGAAACCCCGTCTCTACTAAAAATACAAAAAAGTAGCCGGGTGTGGTGGCACGTGCCTGTAATCCCAGCTACTCAGGAAACTGAGGCAGGAGAATGGCAGGAACCCGGGAGGTGGAGCTTGCGGTGAGCCGAGATTGCGCCACTGCACTCCAGCCTGGGCGACAGAGTGAGACTCTGTCTCAAACAACAACAACAACAACAAAAATCTCCAATTAATTTGTAGTTAAACATTTTTAAAATTAAAATTGGCATTCTTATTAGAAGATATTCAGCATATACAGCTCTAAGATACTTTATGTTTAAAATTATTAAATAAACTTTTAGCATTTAGCACTGTATACTTTACCTGTGAGTAGGGGTTCCACTTATTTTGCAGATCTGTCAAGGAGAGAGAAATTGACATAATCCCAGAGGAGTGTTAAAAAATCTTCTGTAGGCTGGGTGCAATGGCTCATGCCTGTAATCCCAGTGCTTTGGGAGGCCGAGGTGGGCGGATCATTTGAGGTCAGGATTTCAAGACCAGCCTGGCCAACATGGTGAAACCCCATCTCCACTAAAAAACACAAAAATTAGCTGGGCATGGTGGCGGGCGCCTGTAGTCCCAGCTACTCAGGAGGCTGAGGCAGGAGAATAGCTGGAACCGTGGAGGCAGAGGTTGCAGTGAGCCGAGATTGTGCCACTGCACTCCAGCCTGGTGACAGAGGAAGACTCCGTCTAAAAAAAAAAAAAAAAGAAAAAAACCTTCTATGACCCATAGAATTTTCAGGCTTAAAAGGAATTGGACCATTTTCTGTGTCATAAAGTGTTACCTACATGAACAACTTAATATAGCAATGAAGTCAATGTCTTTTTTTGCAACAAATATTTACTCTTTAATGATTTTTCCCTTTTTATTTTGCAAATATTTAAACCTCCAGAAAAATTTAAAGAATAATATAGTGAATATCTGTATGCCTTTTGCCTAGATTCATGAGTTAAAAGTTTAACATTTGATTTCTTTCTCTTTTTTTTTTCTGCCCACCTGCTTTTTTTCCTGAACTATATAAAAGAAAGTTGTTGACACCATTTTATTTTACCTTAAAACATGTCAACTTATTCCTCCTGAAAAACAAGGCTTTTCTTCTGTGTAACCAAAATACCTTGATTATTCCCAAGAAATTTAATATTAATAAAATAATATTATCTGAGTTGCAGCTCATTTTCGAATTTCTTCATTTGTCCAATGTCTTTATAGCTTTATTGAAAAGTGTCTCTTAATTTGGTCTTTCCTGCTGATGAGTCAGAACATAGGTATATTCAAAGAGCCCTTTTTTATAACTAGCACTCAACTCAATCTTATCTTCCATATGTTATAGTTTGGATCTTTTCTTCTTAGTAATTCTATAAATAGAACTTTTCCTACAAAGTTTTCACTACTGAGATGAAACATTGGGGTAGTTCAAATATGGGAGACTAACTTCAGTATATACATGTAGTTTTTTCTGTCTGCATTATTACTATTTTTTTCTAAGGTGTTGAGAGGCATTTCTTGTGCTGAACGTGAATATTTTTAAGAGCCATATAAAGCTAATAATGTGACCTTATTGAAAGAATCATAATATTGTCATTATCTCTTACGATATTTATATATTTTTAATTGCTTTTTGTTATTAAAAAGTTGTATCTTTAATTACTAAGGTATATTGCTTGTTTTCAGGAGATTAAGCGATGAAAAAAACCTTCCTCTTGACGGTAAACGGCAACGTTTCCATTCACCCCACCAAGAGCCAACTGTAGTTAACCAGATAGTGCCTTTATCAGGTGAACGAAGATACTCAATGCCGCCATTGTTTCATACACATTATGTACCAGATATAGTCAGATGTGTTCCACCTTTTCGAGAAATACCATTTTTAGAACCTAGAGAAATCACACTGCCTGAGGCCAAAGATAAGGTAATAATAATGTAGATTTTAGTTTTGCCTTTTGGGAATTTAGTATAAATAATGTATTAATCAAAAATATTTAATATCCTGGATTAAGTAGAACATGCCTTTTTTTCTTGCAATGTTTAAAGTACTATTCAGCCTAATTTTCTGTCTAAACATTACTCTGATTTTTGGTAGCTATTCTTTTATAAAAGTGCAGCTGTCAGGAAATCAGATTTTCCCTGATGTATGAAAATTTTATTAGAACCCAAACACTTTCTTAGTTTAGAGAACTGCCCTGTTACTTGTTCTTACTGAAAAAAAAAAGTTTTTTTCATATAGCTATCGTAATAGAGTGTTAGAACACATTTTATTTTGGGGAGTCACTGAGAAAAACAATACATTCAAAGTGATACAATCAACAAAGATTTATCAAAAACATTTATAAAAAACATTTTCAGTTAAGTGAAATGAAGCTATTTAAATAATAATTCTTGGAAAATGACATTGTCAGCATTGGGGAACAATGAGTTATTTAACATCTAATACTAGAAACATATCTCTCCCCTCCCCCATATTTAGTGAAACCTAATACGGTTTTTCCGAGTAATTGAGAGGGTTTATAATGTAAATATCTGCATTCTCTTGGGTTGTCTGTGGTTTATACTTGCTGTTTTTGCATTTTCAAAGCTGCCACACTCTTGAGAAATGAGATATTTGTAGGCTAAGGAGAAGGACCATGAAGAAAATACAGCAACTTTGTTTTACTCGTCTTTGAGTTCCTATCAACCAGCATAGGTCTGAAACATAGTAAGTGTACAGAAATGTTGGGTCAGAAAAGCAACATCTGCTTCATTCCTTAGTTGTGCTGCTTTTTTATTCCTCTGTTATTCTTTTGTTATTTAAGTAAGTTACAATTATACCATAAAATTCACCCTTTTAAAGTGTACAGTTCAGTGGTTTTGAAATATATTCCGAAAGTTGTGCAACTGTACTATCTGATTCCCAAACATTTTCATCACCACCAAAAGAAACCACGTACCCAATAGCAGTCATTTCTCCTGCTCCCTGGCAACAACTAATCTATTTTCTGTCTTTATCCCATCCTGGACATTTTATATAAATGCAATCATTCAATATGTGGCCTTTTGTGTCTTGCTTTTTTCATTTAGCATGTTTTCAAGGTTCATCCATGTTGTAGCATACACATCAGTACTTCATTCCTTTTTATAGCTGAATAATATTCCATTGTATGAGTAGACCTCACTTTGTTAATACAGTCCTCAGTTGGTGAATTTCTGGGTTGTTTCCACTTTTCATCTGTTATGAATAGTGCAGCTGTGAATATCTGTACAGATTTTTGCATGGACATATGTTTTTACCTCTCTTGGAGTGAAATTGCTTGGTCTTATGGTAACTCTGTGTTTAACTTTTTGAGGAACTGCTGAAGTATTTTCTAAAGTGGTTGCACCATTTTACATTCCTATCAACAGTGTATAGGTGCTGTACATTCTTTACATGCTTGCTGAACTTGCAGCACTTGTTACTGTCTGTCTTTTTGATTATAGCCATTCTAGTGGGTATGAAATGGTATCTCATCGTGATTTGGATTTGCATTTCCCTAATGCCTAATGATATTGAGCATCTTTTCATTTGCTTATTGGACATTTGTATATCTTCTTGGGGAAATGTCTATTCATCGAGATACCTTGCCCATTTTTAAATTGGACTGTTTGTCTTTTTACTGTTGGGTTGTAAGAGTTCTTTATGCATTCTACATATTAGACCCTTACTGGATAATGATTTGTGAATTTATGCTCCCATTATGTGGCTTGTCTTTTTACTTTCTTTTTGGTATCCTTTGAAGCACAAATACATTTCATTTTGATACAGTCCAATTTATCTATTTTCCTTTGGTTGGTTGTGCTTTTGGTGTCATATCTAAGAAACTATTGTACAGGGTCACAGAGATTAATGCCTATGTGTTAATTTTTAAATTTTATTTATTTATTTTTTTTTATTTTTTCCTTGCCCTGCCTATGTGTTACATTTTATAGTTTTAGTTCTTACATTTAGGACTTTGATCCATTTTGAGTTAATTTTTGTATATGATGTAAAGTAGGGGGTACAACTTTATTCTTTTGCTGTTGGTCCAGTTGTCCCAGCAGCTTATTGAAGAAACTGTTCTTTTCTCCTCTGCAACTTTTTTTTTAACCATATTGAAATAGGAAAAACAATCAGTCAAAATCAGTGGGAGAAAGGAAAAAGGCAAAGGAAACTGAGGAAAGATTAACTTGGGTTTTTTTAGTTAGTTTTTTTGTTTTTTTTTTGAGATGGAATCTAGCTCTGTCACCCAGGCTGGAGTGCAGTGGCGTGATCTTGGCTCACTGCAGCCTCCACTTCCTGGGTTCAAGCGATTCTCCTGTTTCAGCCTCCTGAGTAGCTGGGATTACAGGTGTGTGCCACCATGTCCGGCTAATTTTTGTATTTTTAGTAGAGACGAGGTTTCACCATGTTGATCAGGCTGGTCTTCAACTCCTGACCTCGTGATCCACCCACTTTGGCCTTTCAAAGTGCTGGGATTACAGGCGTGAGCCACGGCGCTCGGCCTAGTTTTTATTTATTTTTATTTTTATTTTTTGAGATGAAGTCTTGCTCTGTTGCCCAGGCTGGAGTGCAGTGGCGTGATCTCGGCTCACTGCAAACTCTGCCTCCAGGGTTCAAGCTATTCTGCCTCAGCCTCTCGAGTAGCTGGGACTACAGGCGCCTGCTACCACACCCACTCAGCTAATTTTTTGTATTTTTAGTAGAGACAGGGTTTCACCATGTTAGCCAGGATGGTCTCGGTCTCCTGACCTTGTGATCCACCCTCCTCGGCCTCCCAAAATGCTGGGAATACAGGTGTGAGCCACCGCGCCCAGCCACCTGGCTAATGTTTTTAATTTTTTTTTTTTGGTAGAGCCAGGGTCTTGCTATGATACCCAGGCTGGTCTTGAACTCCTAGCCTCAAGTGATCCTCCCGCAGTGGCCTCCCAAAGGGCTGGGATTACAAGTATGAGCTACTGCGCCTAGCTGTTTTTACTCATTTTAAAGACTATCTTGTAATGCCATAATATGAAAGCCTATGGTATAAATCAAATCAGATCAATCCTTTGAATGAACATTTAAGAATCTTTTTGCTGGGTGTGGTGGCTCACACCTGTAATCCCAGCACTTTGGGAGGCCGAGGTGGGCAGATCACAAGGTCAGGAGTTCAAGACCAGCCTGGCCAATGTGGTGAAACCCCGTCTATACTAAAAATACAAAAATTAGCTGGGCGTGGTGGCAGGCACCTGTAGTCCCAGCTACTTGGGAGGCTGAGACAGGAGAATCACTTGAACCCAGGAGGCGGAGGTTGCAGTGAGCTGAAATCACGCCACGGCCCCCCAGCCTGGGCAACAGAGTGAGACTCCGTCTCAAAAAAAAATAAGAATCTTTTACTGGTTTTTTAAGGTATGTACGCTGATAGCCCTGTTTTCTGTGGAATTCATTGTGATAAACTATTGAAAGCTCTCTATTTTTACTTGGATTTGTATGTTGTGATAGTTAACTATTAGAACTAACTAACTACGAGTTTTGCATATGAACTAGGCAAATTTTCAATTTCAGTAAATTTAATAACAATTCACATTAGTGTCAGCGTAAACCATCTGGCAAAGTACCGTTCTGTATCAATAATGTTTTAAAATTAGTCATATAGAAAGAGATACTCCTAAATATTTAGAATTAGGGATTTATCTCAGAAGGCTAAAGATAAATTGTGTAATTGAACCAATTTCTTTATTTTCCTTTTTTGAGACAGAGTCTTGCTCTTGTTGCCCAGGCTGGAGTGTAATGGCGCTATCTTGGCTCACTGCAACTTCCACCTCCGGGCTTTAAGCGATTCTCCTGCCTCAGCCTCCCAAGTAGCTGGGATTACAGGCACGTGCCACCATGCCCGGCCAGTTTTGTATTTTTAGTAGAGATGGGGTTTCACCGTGTTGGTCAGGCTGGTCTCAAACTCCTGACCTCAGGTGAACCACCTGCCTGAGCCTCCGAAAGTGCTGGGATTACAGGTGTGATCCACCACGCCTGGCTGGAACCAATTTCTTTGAGTGCTACTCTCTACCTGTCAAGTTGTGGGAGAAAGAAGGCAAGCAGTTAGTTTTGTGCTTATTTTTTAAGTGAACACTTTTTAAGAAAGCTAACATTGATGTCTCTTTTAGGCATTCTACATATGCTATCTCAGTTAGTCTTTTCAGCAACCCCATGACATGGATGTTATCCTAATGTTATTGAGGCTCAGAAAGCTAAATAACTTGCTCAAGGTCATAGCTAGTAAGTGGTAAAACCAAGATTTGATCTCTGTCTCTAAAAATATGAAGAAAAGGAGTTTAAGATACTTAAAATCAAGGTTAGGCAGATGACATTCTAACTCTAATACCAGGTGATCTGTGACAGTGATAATTAATATTTATTGAGTATCTGTCATTACTGGCATTGTGTTTGACAGTTTGTATGGTTTACTGCTGTTTACTTCTGTAGAGTGTAAAGTGAATGGAGGATTCGGTGTGAGATAAAGTGGGGCAGTGGTTTGAAGCCTTGAATGCAAGTAAAATGCTATCGAAGGTTTTAAAGTAGAAAAATAGCACAGTCAGATTTGTATTTTTAGAAAGTCGTTGCTGTATAGTGAATTTGGTTTAGAATGAAGTGGGCTTGGAAGATGGTGATCACCTTGAAGACTGTTACATTCACCCTGAAGATGGTTGACCCCCTTGAAGACTGTTAAATTCATCCTAATGAGAGGCGCTGAAGCTTTCAGTTATGGTAGATGGTAGTGAAAAAGATGTGGGAGATAATATATAAGGAAAATTGATAGAATGTGTGGAATAATTGAGTGTAGAAGAGAGAGGGTGAAAGAGACATGAATGACTCCAATGATTTGATTCTGGGTTACTAGTAGAGATAAGGAACCTAGATTTGGGGTATATAGGCTGATTGAGGAAATA